GAATTAAACCAAATAAAACGTTATGACATTAGGGATCCTTCTGGGCCTGGAATTTTATGAGCAAAACAGCTGCGAGTATTTAAAAATAAAAAATGTTTAAAATCCCTAGGGTGCGCGGAGAGCTGGGGACAGAGGTTAAGGCGCTTGCCTTGCCCCCCACAAAGCCCCCCAGCCCGGGTTCAATGCCCACATCGCATGGGGTCCCCTGAGCCCTGCCAGGAGCGAGCCCCGCTGAGCCCAGAGCCAGCAGTCAGCCCCGAGCACCACTGGGTGTGACCCCATCCCACCCCACTCTTCACTAATCTACGCACTCAAGACTTGGATGGAATGATTAGTGTTAGGGTGAAATATTGATTGTTGGGGCTGGAGCGATAGTACAGTGGGTAGGGCGTTTGCCTTGTACACGGCTGACCCGGGTTTGATTCCCAGCATCCCATATGGTCCCCTGAGTACTGCCAGGAGTAATTCCTGAGAGCCAGAAGTGACCCCTGTGCATCGCTGGGTGTGACCAAGAGAAAATATATATATATATGTATATTATTAGGAATTAGGGCTGGAGCGATAGCACAGCGGTAGGGCGTTTGCCTTGCACGCAGCCAACATGACCAACCCGAGATCGATTCCTCCGCCCCTCTCGGAGAGCCCGGCAAGCTACCGAGAGTATCTCGCCCGCACGGCAGAGCCTGGCAAGCTCCTCGTGACGTATTCGATATGGAATTAGATGGCCAACCCAAATGAAAAATGGACCCAAGGAATAGAACAAAGGTCTCCCAACACCTGCCTTTGGGGTGACCCCCTGCCTTGCCTCAGCCAACCCAGGTTCAATGCCCACATCGAGCCTTGCCAGGAGTGACCTCCATTTGTCCCCTCGTAGAAGGTGAGAAATCTTGAAAGTAAATCAAAGCCTCAATGAGTCAGTCCAAGGGCTGGGGATGCTGACTCGTATGGAAAAGACCAGGGTTAAATCCTCAGCACTGCCAAAAACTGAAAAATATAAGAGTAGGGCTGGAGGGGCTGGAGCAACAGCACAGCAGGAAGGGCGTTTGCCTTGCACGTGGCCGACCCAGGTTCGATTCCCAGCATCCCCCGAGCACCGCCAGGAGTAATACCCGAGTGCAGAGCCAGGAGTAACCCCTGCGCATCACCGGGTGTGACCCAAAAAGAAAAAAAAAAGAGTAAGGCCGGAGCGATAGGAAGCAGGGAGGGTGCTTGTTCAATCCCTGGTACCACATCTGGTACCACATCTGGTCCCCCAGCGCCCTCCCCCCGGGGTGATCCTTGAGATCTGAATCGGGAGTAAGCCCTGAGCACTGTTGGGTGTGGCCCAAATCCCACCCTCCATCACCCCCGAAATCAACAATCAAGTCCTGCCTGATGATCAAGACTTGGGAAAGAGGACTGTGATGAAGGAAATGAACGAGCTTCCTTTCCTGGGGGCTTCCCAGAGAGCGCCTTAGGTTGGAGGGGCCGTGGGGGGCAGAGATGACATCCAGGGGTACCAATGCTGCATCCCTGGCACAGGGCTGAGTTACTCTGATGGTGCCCGCTCTTTCTTTCTTTCTTTCTTTCTTTCTTCCTTTCTTTCCTTTCTTTTTTTATTTTCTTTCCTGTTTCCGGCACACTCACAGTGCTTAGAGGACTATACAGGATGCCAAACTGGAACCCGGGTCAGCAGCCTGCAAGGTAAGCTCCCTCCCGGCTCGACTATCCAACGTGCTGTCCCCTCCCCGCAGGCCTTTTTGTTTCTGTGTGTTTTCTGGGTCAGACCCAGCGATGCTCGGGGGTTCCTCCTGGCTCTGCACTCAGAATTACTCCTGGAGGTGCTTGGGGGACCCTATGGGATGCCAGGGATTGAACCCGGGTTGGCCACATGCAAGGCAAACGCCCTCCCCGCTGGACTATTGCTCCAGCCCCCATGATGCCATGTCTGAGGCAGCCTCCATTTTTCACCAAATCGCCATTTCCAAGAATGAGGCAAAAAAAGATCAAAAAAGACCAGTTGGCAATAGGTTCTGGCAAGAAAATTAAGTGTCCGCCAATGTCTCATTATTACCCTTAGTGGGATTGTGTGTGTAAGAAAATAAAGTGGGGCGGGGAGGGGCACAGAAAGATAGTACAACAGGCAGGGCGCTTGCCTTGCAGGTGGCCAATCTGAGTTCCATCCCCGGCACCCCATCTGGTCCTCTGAGCCTACCAGAAGTGATCCCTGAGTACAGAATCAGGATGGAACCCCTGAGTATTGTTGGGTTTGACTCCACACACACAAAAAAAAAACCCACAAGAGAGACTGGAGTGATAGCACAGCGGGGAGGGCGTTTGTCTTGCACGCGGCCGACCCGGGTTCAATTCCCAGCATCCCATATGGTCCCCTGAGCACCACCAGGAGTAATTCCTGAGTGCATGAACCAGGAGTAACTCCTATGCATCGCAGGGTGTGACCCAAAAAGAAAAAAAAAAAACACAAGAAAACGAAGTGTCAACTAATGTTGCACTGTTGTTGTCATTGGGGACGGGACCCCCTATGCATTAACATCCAGCGCTTGGGTATCAAGCTTGCGAGGCTGGGTTTGCAGAAAGCATTTGGTTGATGACAGAAAGCAAAACAGGGGCCGGATGGGGCTGGAGCAATAGCACAGCGGGGAGGGCGTTTGCCTTGCACGCGGCAGACCCAGGTTCGATTCCCAGCATCTCATATGGTCCCCCGAGCACTGCCAGGAGAGATTTCTGAGTGCATGAACCAGGAGTAACTCCTGTGCACCGCTGGGTGTGACCCTCCACAAAAGAAAAAAAAAAAAAAACAGGGGCAGGAGCAATAGTACAGCGGGGAGGACGTTTGCCTTGCACGCGGCCAACCCGGGTTCAATTCCCATCATCCCACAGGGTCCCCCAAGCACCGCCAGGAGTGATTCCTGAGTGCAGAGGCAGGAGGAACCCCTGAGCATCGCTGGGTGTGACCCCACACACACACACACACACACACACACACACACACACAAAGTAAAAAGCAAACAACAACCACCACGGTAATATCAATGATAATAATTCTATTCAATCTAACTAAACAACACTGCCAGCTTCCGGATGCCAAGAGTCCTCCCTGGAAAGGCAGCTCCGGGTGCTGGTGCGGACCCCTCCCTACTCTCCTCCATTCCAGCGGGGCCAGAGGGAGGTTAAAATTAGGAGCTGAACCATCCGCAGGGGCTGGGCTAGCTCCGGTAGCGCCGGCCCAGGGCCCCCGAAATAGCCAGGAGGAGGATTGGAAGACCCAACTTTGCTAGCGCAGCAACGGGGAGGGAGGAGGGGAAGAGAGAGAGAGAGAGAGAGAGAGAGAGAGAGAGAGAGAGAGAGAGAGAGAGAGAGAGAGACCCAGTGCCCGCCGGTCCCAGAAGGAAGAGGAAAGAAATAATAAAGAGAGCGTTTGGGGGAGGGGAGGGAAAAGGGGGTGCGGGGCGGGGCTTCAATTCACAAACACCTCACACCCTCACCACTTCTAAAAGCCACTCGGCGGTTTGGGCCACGGTCGGGGGGGACCCCCGGGACAAAATTAGGAATCGATCCGAAAACAAAATCCACCTCCCACAAAAATCTTCGCTGAAACTTTTTTTTCCACCGCCCCCCCCCCGCGCCCCCGCCCCGCGCCGCTCTCGGTCCAAATAGGGGTGTCCGCAGGGCGCGTTGGGGTGCGCGCGTGAAAGCACCGCCGCGTCGGGACCCGCCTCCCCCCCCCCCCCCCCGCCCCATTCAGGAAGGTGGGTGACGGGGGGTGGGGGAGTCAGGAAGTGAAGGAGCCGCTCAGCAAAAGCAAGGTTTGGGGGGTCTAAAGGTGAGGACCGGTCCCCTTTCCCACGAGGAAACTTCCGATCGCGGGGGGGGGGGGGGATATGGGTGGGGCGGAAGAGTGACGACTCGGGAGAGGGGCTTAGGTTTTGGGGGGGAGGGTGGATCTCCCCTAAACCAAGGCGCCGATTTTTCTTTTTTTTCTTTTTCTTTTTTCTTTTCTTTTTTTTTCTTTTTTTTTTTGCTGGACCGCGCCTGGGGTCCCGGGAGGAGACAGATGCTTGGAACGTTTGGGGAGAGGGTCTAGTAGGAGAAGCGGGTCCGCGGGACACCCGGCGCCCCGGAATTCGGGGTAAGGGTGGGAGGGTGTCTCGGGAGCCTTTCCCGCGGCGAAATCGAGGACTCGGGAGTGGAAAAAAGTCACCTCCGTGGGGTCGGGGGGGCGACTTCGGAGAGCCGGGGTGGGAGGGCGCATCGGGGGCCAGGGACAAGTGGGGGTTGCAGGGGACGCCCCCAATTCCGGGAGCTTGGAGGGAGAGCCGGGGTGGGAGGGTGCATCGGGGGGCCAGGGGACAAGAGGGGGTTCCAGGGGACGCCCCCAATTCCGGGAGCTTCGAGGGAGAGCCGGGGTGGGAGGGGCGCATCGGGGACCAGGGACAAGTGGGGGTTCCGGGGACGCCCCCAATTCCGGGAGCTTCGAGGGAGAGCCGGGGTGGGAGGGCGCATCGGGGGGGCCAGGGACAAGTGGGGGTTCCGGGGGACGCCCCCAATTCCGGGATCTTGGAGGGTGGAGTTTAAGGTGGGGGTTCCCGGGCGCCCCCCCCCCGAGATGGACGGACTTGGGGGAGGGGCCGGAGGTGGGACGGACGCGGGAGCCCCAGGAACACCCGCGCGGCAGAGTCGGGAGGCGAAAGTTTGGGGGGCTCGGGGGGGGGACACCCCCGCCCGCGGGCGCGCCCCTCGCAGGAACTTTGGTCGAATGGGAAAAGTCGCAGCGACGGGTCCCCCCAACTTTGTCGTCCCCCGCGGCGGGGGCGCGCCCGGGCCGGGCCGACGAGCGCCGGACCCGGGGACGCGCCGTCGCGGGCGTCGGGGGGTGCCGGGCGTGTCCCCCCGCCGCACCCCCCCCCGGGGACCCCCGGGACCCCCGGCCGCCGCCCCCCGCGCCGCCCCCCGCGCCGCCCCGCCGGGCCGGGCCGGGCCGGGCCGGGCGCGCCGGTCACCTGGAGTTCGGGCCGGGAGTTCGGGCAGCGGCTCCCGCGGCGGCGGCGGCGGTGCGTGTTGGTCCCCGTTGGCAAGTAACAGTCTCCAGGGCTACAGTCTCTATGGCGGCGGCGGCGGCGCCGCTCCTCCTCCGGCTCCCGCCGCCCCCCGCCCGCCCGCCCGCCGCGCGCGCCGCCCGCCCGCCCGCCCGCACGCCCGCCCCGGGGCGGGGCGTTGTTACCGGCAACAGTTACCAGGCTCCGCGCCCCGCCCCAACGGCCCGCCTCCAACGGCTCTGAGCGTGCCATTGGCTCGGCGCGCTGCCCGTCACCGGGGGGCGTGTCCTCGGCGAGGAAGTGGCCCAGAGCCGGCCAATCGCGGCGCGGCGGGGCGGGGCCCGGCGGGAGGCGCGCGCCGCTCGCGCGGAGCGTTGGGGAGCGGCCGGCTCGCGCTCGCGCGCGCGCACGCGGAGGCGCGCGGGCTGCAGGGGCGCCCCGCGGCTGGGTGGGGGGGCGCGGCCGCCCGGAAGGTCGAGTCTCGGGGATGGGTGGGTGGGTGGGTGGGGAGGGGAGGGAGGGGGGTCCAGGGTGGGGACTTCGTTTATTCTACGGGCCTTTACCGGTCGTCCGGGCACGCTCCGGGGGCCCGGGACAGCCGTCGCGGCCCCGTGTCCGGCCGCTGAGAGTTTGGAAACTTGTTTTGAAAACGTTGACTCAGAGTCACCGGATGACGATCTGGTGGTGGCTGATTAAAAAAAAGAGTGCGATTCCGGTTTTTTGTACCACTTAGGAGGGTCGGCAGACGGACCCGGGGTGGGGCAGTGGTGGCCTGGCTTTCTCGGTTTGCAAATACACTTGTATTAGAACACCGTGGCCCCATCCTAAAGTGACCTGGGAGGCGGCAGCGTCCACTCTGTCCTAGGGACAGAGATCAGTCCAAGAATGAACTGTCAGGGCGGGGGGAGGGCAGTCGTGACAGAGAGGGACCACGATGACAATGAGAGTTGGGAAAGATCACTCTGGAGGAGAACTGAGTGTGAGGGGGGGGTCATACCAAGGATAACCTTTCAGTACCAGCATTGCAAACCATGGTACCCAAAAGGAGGGCAGGAGGGAGGGAGGGAGGGAGAGAGGAGAGGAAAAGTGCCTGCCACTGTGTGTGGGGGGGGAGGGGTGGCTGGAGGGAACTGGGGATATTAGTGACGGGAAATGTGCCCTAGTGAAGGGACAGGTATTATAACATTGCATGGCTGAAACCCATTCATGAACAACTTTATAACCGTGTATCTCAGGGTGATTGAATTTTTTAAATTTATTTATTATATTATTTTTTGCTTTTTGGGTCACACCTGGCAATGCACAGGGGTTACTCCCAGCTTTGCATTCAGGAGTTACTCCTGGCGGTGCTCAGGGGACCATATGGGATGCTGGGAATCGAACCCGGGATGGCCGCGTGCAAGGCAAACACCTTACCCGCTGTGCTATCTCTCCAGCCCCTGATTTTTTTTTTTTAAATGGCAGATTATGGGCTGTAGCGATAGCACAGCGGGTAGGGCCTTTGCCTTGCACGTGGCCAACCTAGGTTCGATTCCCAGCATCCCATATGGTCCCCTGAGCACCGCCAGGAGTAATTCCTGAATGCAAAGCCGGGAGTAACCCCTGTACATCACCGGGTGTGACCCAAAAAGCAAAAGCAAAAGAAAAAAAAGGCAGAACATGAAGCCTGAAATATTAGGCACATAGTATAGTGGGTAGGGCACTTGCCTTGCATGCAAACAACACAGGTTTGACCCACCCGGCATCCCATATGCTCCCACCCATGTCTTGCCAGGAGTGATCTCTGAGCACAAGAGTTAAGAGTCCCTAAAACAAAATAAAATTTATGGGACTGGAGCTACAGTACTGCTGGGAGGGCACTTGCCTTGCATGCAACCGACCCAGATTCAATCCCCGGCATCCCATATGGTCCCCTGAGCCCCAGCAGGCGTGATTCCTGAGTGCAGAGCCAGGAGGAGCCCCTGAGCATCACCGGGAGTGACCCCCCCCCAAAAAAAAGCAAAAATAGGGGCTGGAGTAATAGCACAGCGGGTAGGGCCCTGTGCATAGCCGGGTGTGACCCAAAAAGAAAAAAAAATTTGAAAATTTTTGAAAAAAAAATTTTTTAAATGTTTGAAAAAAATTTAAAAAATAAATAAAATTTGCTATGAGACCCTTCATGGAAAAAATTCTGCCACTCTTCTCTCTCCATTCATCTTCCTCCTCTCATACCTCCCCTTTCAGTGATGATAAATGATGATAAGACAAACAATTAGACCATTCTAGTGTTTATTCTAGTGTCAGAACATTGAGAAGAACGGAATAAATAAACACATAGCCTTATTGGTTTGGGGGGGCCACACCCAGCTGTACTCAGGGATTATTCTTGGTTCTGACCTCAGCGATGACTCCTAGTGGGCTCAGAGGACCCTATGGGGTGCTGGGGATCGAATCCCGGTCGGCCACATGCCAGGCAAATGCCCTACCCACTGTACCATCACTCTGGCCCCCAAAGTGTTTATACATACTAACTTACTACTGGCTACATTGCTTCTAGGGGACAGAAGATGTGTGTTCTCTCTTTTGTTTTGATTTAACATATAATAATCAGTAGCACCGTAGCACTGTCCTCCCATTGTTCATCGATTTGCTCTAGCAGGCACCAGTAACGTCTCCATTGTGAGACTTGCTGTAACTGTTTTTGGCATATCAAATACACCACGGGGTGCTCACCAGGCTCTGCTGTGCGGGCAGGATACTCTTGGTAGCTTGCTGGGCTCTCCGAGAGGGGCAGAGGAATCGAACTCGGGTCGGCCATATAGGCTGCGTGCAAGGCAAACGCCCTACCGCTGTGCTATCGCTCCAGCCCATAATAATCAGCGTGAGCAGTAATTAATGCGACTTGTTTTCAGTGCCAATACACACACTTACTAATGCTTCCTGTGACCCCTTCCTGTTTGTGTGCTCGGATCAGTCTCGCCCCCTTGCCCTGTGCATGATGTGACTTGGTGATTTACGACCGATGACCAATTCCTCTCTGCTCAGCTTCTAGCCTGGGTCACTCAGACATCCTGCTTCTAATTTTCTTTCTTTTTTTTTTTCCCTTTGTTTTTTGAGTCACATCCAGCAATGCTCAGGGGTTATTCCTGGTTCTGCACTCAGGATTTACCCCTGGCGGTGCTCAGGTTAGGATGGAAACTAGGTTGGCCCCGTGCAAGGCAAATGCCCTCCCGGCAGTACTATTGCTCCAGCCGGAATTTTCTGTTTTTTTTTGCTTCACAATGAATGTGGCCCAAAAACTAGAGAGAGAAAGAAGAGAGAGAGAGTTAGAGAGAGAGGGAGAGAGAGAGAGAGATGGAGAGGGAAAGGGAGAGACTGAGGAAGAGGAGTAAATCCCCAAACATAAAATAATTGGAGTTGGAGGGGCTGGAGCAATACCACAGCGGGTAGGGCGTTTGCCTTGCACACGGCCGACCCAGGTTCAATTCCCAGCATCCCAGAGGGTCCCCCAAGCACCCCTGAGCACTCAGGAGTAATTCCTGCGTGCAGAGCCAGGAGTAACCCCTGCGCATCGCCAGGTATGACCCAAAAAGAAAATAAAAAAACATAGACTCAAGGGGCCAGAGAGATAGTACAGTGGGTAGAGCATCTGCCCTACACAGTCAATCCAGGTTCCTTCCCTGACACCACACAGAATCCCCCAGCCCCAGCCAGGAGTCATCCCTGAGCACGGAGCCCAGAATAAGCCCTGAGCACTGACGGGTGGGGCCCCCCAAACCCAAACAATAATAACAAGCTCAGTCGGAAATAGAGAACAATTTCCTCCCCCTGATGTGTGATGTCGCCAAAATGCCACAGAACACGGCACTCGGGGATGAAGCCAGGATGGTGGCCCCTGGGATCAGGAACACAGATATCCGCGCCGCCCCCCGTCTGCTAGGTGCTGTACTGCGTGTTCCAGGCAGGGCAGTTAGGAAAAATAAATAAAAGACACCCAGATTGGAAAGGAAGCAGGAAAAGTCTCTCTATTTTTAGATGCCACGATCTGGCCTGAAGAAAATCCTAAGGAACCCACGAGGAAGTTCTGAAAACTAATACGTATGTTCTGCATATGCTCTCGGAGGACACACACATACACACACACACACACACACACACACACACATATATATCTATATATATTTGAATTTTGGGTCACACCCGGAAATGCACAGGGGTTCCTCCTGGCTTTGCACTCAGGAACTACTCCTGGCAGTGCTCAGGGGACCATATGGGATGCTGGGAATCGAACCCGGGTTGGCCGCACGTGCACGCCCTCCCCGCTGTGCCATCTCTTCAGCCCCAGGACACATTTTGATTGAAAAGAAAAATTGCTGAGTCAGAGAGCTGGTACCGAGGGTAGAGCAATTAATTGCCTTGCACCCGGCTGACCCAGGTTCGATTCCCAGCATCCCATGTGGTCCCCTGAGCACTGCCAGGAGTAATTCCTGAGTGCATGAGCCAGGAGGAACCCCTGCGCATCGCTGGGTGTTATCCAAAAAGCAAATAAATAAATAAATAAAAATTAATCACTCCATGGGGCTGGAGAGCTAGCACAGCGGGTAGGGCGTTTGCCTTGCACGTGGACAACCCGAGTTCGATTCCCAGCATCCCATGTGGTCCCCTGAGCACTGCCAGGAGTAATTCCTGAGTGCAGATCCAGGAGGAACCCGTGCGCGTTGCTGGGTGTGATCCAAAAAACAAAAGATAAATAAATAAATAAATAAAAATTAATCACTCCTAGCAGTGCTCAGGGGACCCTACGGAATACGGGGGATCGAAACCGGGCTGGCCATATGCCAGGCAAACGCCGACCCCCCTCGCCCCCACCCCGCTGAACTGTCACTCCAGCCCCAAGTTAGGAATTCATTTACCTGGCTGGAACTTCGGGAACAGGAAGAACACAGAGCTGAAGGGGACTTTAGGTCAGCTCAGCGCGAGGCAGCCCATATTCATGGATCTGGAGACAGTGTGTAAATGAGAGGGTGACATTCCTCCGAACCATTCACAAATGCGGGCTGGAGCCAGAGGCAGCAGGGAAGGCCTGTGTTTCCCACATGGCCAAGCAG